CGGGATGAGATGTGGCCTTGTCGCTCCATTGGGAATTAATGGACCAATTCCAAGAATTTCATTTTCCGCTGAATGCAGTTGTATGAGTCAAGACCACGTTTCGCTTATATTACAATTTTAAACGGAGCGTCAACGTATTGTTGAGGAAATATATTCCAAGACACATTTTTGTAGAAAAGAAAAACAATATTCTTTAGAATGTGTCTTGAACAGTCATTCCCAGTCACGTTACGTTAACATCTTACTTTATTTTCTCTATCTCCCGTTTCTTAGGTAGTTATTAAAATAAATAAACGAATGAACGAAGGTCGTCGAATTCGAGGGAGACCAAAGCTCCGATGGATAGGCGTAAATAAAGTGGGCATAGTTAATTCGAAGTCTGTGGCCAGAGATAGACCGAGGTGGACAAAATCGCTGGACCAAGCCAAGACTCACAAAGGGCTGTAGAGCTAGAAGAATAAGAAAATAAATAAAAATATTTCGACAATGATATCATGCTGTCTTGTTTGATTTTGGATATTGTTATCAGATGGTATGCAATGACAGGAATAAGCCTAGTAACACAATTGTGACGTTGCAAGCTCACTGACAGGTAGACAACGTTTAATAACAGTACAGTCCGACAAAGTTGTCTGACCCGGTGGGCATAAGTTAAACTAAAATATGATGTGTCACTAGCACCTACCTGTAAATATATAAAAGTGTCAAAAGATCCTTATGATACTGCAGCTTAACTGTCATGATTTTAATTCTTTTAAGTAATTTTCTATGGCTTTTAAGTCTTACATAATTTCTGACAGAACTACCGGTATAGCAGCGCCTCTCTCACCGGACCTGATAATCTTGTCGCACCATAATAATAGAATTTTAATAGGAATAACAGTGAAAAAAAAAGGAATGCTTCGTTATATTCGAATCAAACTATGCTTTCGCCTCGGGAAACTAGTAAATAACTTGTCAAAACAATTTTATTCCAACTTGTTAGGAACAAAATAATTCGATTTGCTTTTAAAATATTGTGTTGTTTTCGTGATTTATAAGTCTTATTAGATAAAGAAGGATTTTAAATTACGATTCTTTTAATAAGGGGACGATCCTTGGATGAAAAAGGTTGACCTTTGTAGTTTATGTTAGATAAGTTAGATTAAGTGTTTGTGGGGTAAATGCGCGGGGATTATACAATTTAATTCCCCTACATTCATTCTAGTATCGGACATTTAAGTGCTTTACTACATCCTTTTGTTTCACACATTCTTATTATCAAATCAAAGCAATTTCATTGTGTGTTTTTTTTATCTTAATTGAATTCTCGTATATTTTTTTTTATATCATAAGGTGACAAACGAGCGAACAGCCTCCTGAAATCACTGAAATAGCGAAGCGACCGCTGCCCATAGACATATGCAACCGCATATGCGTTCCCTACCCTTAATCTCTGGAGGAAAGGATGCACAGAAAGAAAATATTTTCCCTTCCTATGCATCCTTTCATCCGGAAAGTCCACTACCACTTCCTATCCTTTCCTTATAAGAAAAAGGGTGGGAAGGGAAAGAGGAGCAAATGAGGCCTCCGGGACGCACACTCATCAGCAGAAACACGGAATTACTTCCACGTCACGCCTGTCTTCTGTGTGGTCGTGGTATTTCACCGGGCGAGCCGGGCCAATTCGGGCGAAGATGTTAAAGCGGGCTCTACCACTGTTAAAAACTGTTTCTAAGTCTATTAAACCTTTAGATATAAACAGATAAATCTGAAACTAATAAATATGAAAGAGGATGTTAAACATAAGCCGAATAAGAAATAGTCAAGATCCAATATCCATAACGATTTGAGAATCGAGGGCGGGTTTCGTATTTCGCTCCAACGTCCATATTTCTACTACACGCAAATTGTCGATATTTGGGTCTGCATATATTATAATTGTCCCTTGTCGCTGACATCGTCCCCGAAACGTCGTCCCTTACGTAGGGTCGAATTGAACATCCGAATATCATGGAAATATATATTTGAATAGGCACCGCAGTCACTTCTCTATTTCATCATTTTTATTGAATATCTAAGAAACAAAAATAGATTAAGAATTAAGACGCACTATAGACAATATTTCAGAGTACAACTGTAATTATTTTGCACACAATTTAACACAAAAATAATGATGCAAAATATTGCAATTAGTTACACATTTTTTTGCATATCGACTTAGAATTAAAACCTGTATTATTTTAAATTCAATTATATTATAGTATAGTGTTATAGTTATGTGCGCAGTAAGTTTATAAAGGCCAATAAAACAACTAAGCTTTAATAAAATAAGTTTAATATTTAGCTTTTGCTTCAAATGGATTAGTCAAAGCCTAATACTAATATTACTTACCTTTCGTGATGATTTACTTATAAGGATTATTCATATCAGAATATAAACTGTAGAGTTTGAACCAAATGAAATAAGTATTAAAGTAATGACACGCAACATTTGAAATGCGAACTAAACGTAATCTACATTATTTACGATGACTTGCGTACCGCGTTATACTTTGATGACGTCAGCGATCTTGTACCGATCACGCGAGATATACATCGGTTATTTGTCATGTGTTACATAATCCTTAGCTTGTAGCTTACCTTTATCAACTAGCGCCACACCCGATATTGAACATTTCTTTTTAATATACTACCAGATACAGCAATGTTATGCTTCATATTAATATATTTTGGTTTTATTATCTTGCTTGCTTGTTATTATTTTCTAAGTAAATTGTTATTGGACTTAATATTTCAAAAGAACGAAATTACTTTAAAAAAATAAATGGAAAAAAAAATTGTCACAAAAAACTGCATTTAGAAAAATAATTATAAAACTAAAAAAGATTTGTGATACACTAAATTACACCAGTAAACTTAAGAAAAGAGATGAATACAGAAAATATAAGTGACATATATAACTGATTTTATAAATACAAATTTTTGGATGAATAGATTTTTGTTAGAAGGTATCACCAGAATGCATGGATCTGGCTGAAATTTGGCATAGACGTATAACATAGTGTGGAAGATGACATTGGCTACTACTTAAGTTTTATTAAACCTGACTAGACTGTGTCGAGGATGACCTTTAGTACCTAATAAGTTTAAAAATAAAAACCATGAAATTTTTGTCTACTTGTACAAAAATGTAGTTTGAACTTAGAACCAAATTACTTATTATACATACATAATTACCTGTTATACAATATTATTAATTATAATTTTATAAAATTATTAACATGTAAGGACTTACTATTAAAGCGTTGAGGGGCTTTATAATGAAACTCCGTATGCGGGGGGCTTAATGAATTATTTATGCCAATGAATAGGCGTGACGTCTTTTGACGATATTAATATTCAACGTGAACCTCCGCTTCAATGTCATTGTAAAGGGAACTTAATATTAGTAATATAGAATTATGTAGCGTAAGCGTTTTTGCAAATTTAATATATTCTAAATTAACAACTATAAATTGCTAATAGCTAGAATTTTTTTTTATTATTAGGTGGCAAACTAGCATGTGGCCACCTGGATTCGCCGAAATGGCAAAACAACAACTGCCAATAGACATCCGCAACTGCAGATGCGTTGAACAATCAATCCACATCTAGCAAATCCAGTTCCTCTTCACACCCTTTTCTTATGAGGAAAGGATGGGAAGGGAAAGAAGACTAAAATTAGACCTCCGACACCAGAGAAGTAACGCGGAAATACTTTCACTTGACGCCTGTCCTCTGTGTGGTCGTGGTGATGCATCGTGTGAGCCGACATTCGTGCAACACATGTTCTGTTGGTGTCTACTCCTACCACTGTCTTTTTGTCAATAGATTGCATACAAATAGAAAGAAAAATGATAAACATAGAACCAGTAGCCATTTAAGTAAATAAAATTTTTATCCAATTATATACGTGTTCTCTGCTGTCGTAAAGGTAAAGTAAATATAAGTACTCGTACAATGCCCAATTAAACGAAATTTCATGTAAGCGACATACAACATGCGACACACGACAGGTTTCCGTAATTTATGGTTACATTTTGGTACTGCAACGTCCCGAATACAAGTGATGTATTCTTAGCAAGGGCCTTCGTTATGTACATTTAACAGAGCTTTACTCAAGGAATTAAAAAATAAAAAGTTCTTGCAAAACGGATTAAAAAATAAATGTATAATATTTTTTTTAACAACTCGCATCAGTATAATTTAAATTATCTTATTTTTTACAAACAATTACTAATATAATTTGTAGTGAAAAATCCATGTTAAACCTTTGTTAATAGCACATTTTTGTATATAGTAAATTTTTCGATATAAATACAATGGAATATCTTACAATAACTTAAACCTTTCTGTAAGTTATCGTCAATATCTTTAAGATCCTAACAATACATTTAATAGAAGAGAAGCTCTAATTCTCCACAACTTCAAAGGGTTATTCAAAATGTCGGGATCCTAAACAATAGGAGGCACATACTAAGATTTATGGGCGATTGTGTATGTAATGTAATGGCCTAAATATTCACGCGCTCTTTTAGAGTTAAGTAATAAATTATTCTATTCAATTTGCGACAATAAATTACCAAGTCTGTATACCAAGAAGTACTTATATGTGTATTTTTTTGTTTTGCTATTTACGACAGGCCACTCAAATTAAGACTATTGCTAAACATAAAAAATTATAATAATTCTTCACGCATTTAGTGAAAAAACAACATAAATATTTTAACTATAAAAATCCAATAATTTTAAGCTATTCTTTGTATATATTCCTCTACAATACATAGTAACATATTGATCTCTTTGGTCCCATATTATGTAAAATAGTGTGTTTTAGAGAGTGGACATAATTTGTAAACAAGTAACGTTCGGAAACTTCCGACGCAAGTCGATCGAAGCCGAGCCGTCTCTATTACCAACACGCCGTGCGTCGAAACCGTAGCATCCGCACGTAGCAAGTTAGTCGTCGCGTAGCGCACGTAGCGGTCTGACGTCTACGCTAGTGTGAAGTGAATGTTTTACGCAATTATTTTAAAATTGTTTAATTATTTTGAAGTCTTTAAAATAATTGTAAAAAAAAAAATAAGTTTAAACAGCTTCTTACAAGAACTATGTGAATGGATCCAACAGGTATTTCTTAATTTTTGTATTAGTTATAATAATAAACTAACGTTGAACGATTTTTCAATTGAAATGCGTAAAAACCCACATGCCTTTAGGTCGCTTAGCTTAGCTGAACTTTAGTTTTGTGCTTTTTATAATGGGTTAGTCATTTTATATAAAAAATCTTTGAATTGTTTAAAAAGTGCCAAAATACGCATAGTAAAAATTGCATGTAAGTACAAAAAGCCTTAAGCTAATCATTTATATTGTTTTTGTTGTAGAAATATATTACAATGTATTGTAATATAAATTTTGTTATAATAATAAAAAACCATTTGTAATTCAACACAGCGTTATTAATTGACTCTTGCAATGTATACTCTACATTTTGTTCTAAGTGGCTGAAAGGGAAGACATTTTATGAAACCTCGCCCATCATAACTACGATTTTTTCTAACATATGTGAAGAAAGCGAAATGTAATGGCATGGAAAAATATATCTTGTTTCTATGTTTATAGATACCATATTCGCGTATAGATTGTGTATAGTCAATATTATTTTAACCCTCCTATAATATCAATTTACTATTCAAAAATGGTGACGCTTTGGGTCAATACTGATAATGGGTCTATCGTATGACCATCGCTCGGTGATTACCAGTTTTTTTAAACATTATAGAAACCTATTGAGATTTTCAAGTACTAAAATGATGCCTTTCAAATAACAGGATGATACAGTCATTTGTTACAAGATTTTAATTTACGTTCTACGATCGTACTTAGATTAAGTAATTAGTTTTTCGTATTTATGTAATAAAATATGTTTGTAACTACATCTAAGTGATGTTAAATTTTAATTGAAATTATGTGAAAATAAGATTCATTTCTCTTAAAAATGTAAAAACAAAATAATATACATCTTATAACTGTAAGCCAGAAGAGTATTCAGAGAAGAGACTACATTTGGCGCTGTCCTGAAAGATCTCTGTTGCTTCTACCACATTCATACGTAATTAAAAATATATGTCTTGTTACTTTACCAAAATATTTATTGCAATAGAAAAAAAAATTAATTATTTTCATTTAATTTATAAAGGTTAATTATCCAACATTCACAATAAATAAAAGCAAAATAAAAGTAAAATAACAAAATTATAGGAAACAATAGAACAACATTTTTTTAATAAAAAAAAAAGAAGAAAATACATGCGTTATTATATACCAAACGATTCAAAGTTTCCTTGTCTTTGTTTCGGTAGCCGAGAATCTCGTAATACCTACCAAACTTAAGCCAGTAATTCCATTAGTGTCGACAACGGGTTTTGAACGCAGGTTGTTCGCATTCAATGAAATATAAGACGATTTCCGCGTAAGCCCGACGTCCGGATACACCAGACGAGTTTTCTCGACTTACTGTCCTAAGCTTTCACAAACTAGATGCTCGTGGTAACATTTTATGTTGCTCTCAGTAATATGAGTTTCATATTTATAATGTTACGTTTTTATCTAGATTTATAGAGATTTACATGAAAAATTAACCGTGTGTTTCTGAGAACAAAATCTCTGTTTAAAACATATTGTTATCTCTGTATTGTCAAAGATAATGACAGAGATGACGATATGTTTTATACGGAGATTTAGGTCTTGGAAACCTACGGTAAGTTTACAATTTCTATATATATTATAATGTAATGTATGTTAGTTATAAGTACAGCATTAATAACTATACGAAAAAAAATCCTAAGTTTTGTGATGTGAAAATGAAATTAAGGGTATAAGGCTGCATACAGTTAAACTCAAGGATATAAATCATACCTTTAACCAGCCAAATTATATCTTTATAAAACTAACAATACCTTTTACAGGAATGATAACAGGGTAATGAACTATAACAAGAGCAAGAGCCAGTGAAATGTAAAAGTGAAGACATGAACATAAAAATCGCTCCAATGGCTCGTAATATAGTATATTGGCTATTAGTGGTTTTATCACTCGAGGCCGTTGACGCTAAAAGAGCGACGTGCCTGGGTTACCCTAACTGTATTTGCGGCGGTACATTGGCCTTAGAAGTTGATTGCATCGTAAGCGGTTAGTACACTTAAGAACTTTTGTTTCTTAATAATTTCTTAAAAAAACTTTATTCTGACTTAAAGTTTACGATCTGTTAACTTGTCTAGACTTAAAATATACAATTAAGATATAATTTTATTACTTAATCATTTCATTTCAGGTCAGACAGTGAAAATTGATGTTTTACCTGGCGTTTACGTGAACATCAAATGTGAAAATTCGACGTTTTTGAACTATAATAATCTACCGAACTTTAATAATCGCAGAAATATTTTTAAGACAGTCAGTTTTAAGAATTGTCCGTTACCATCGACATCTTTCAAAGAAGTATTAACAAATATCGGTGTTAATAAAACAATGTCTTTGATATATCAAAATGAGAAAAATATAACACAGAATTTTGATAGAAATCATTTTGTCGGATTAGAAGATTTAACTAAATTATTAATATCTGTAAACGGTGTTATATTTCTACCGGATAATCTTTTTATGGATTTAAATAATCTTAAATGGTTAAACTTGCGAATTAAATCTGTAAATATATCTAAAGAAATATTCAAACCATTACCAAGATTGGATACACTTGAAATCAATCATAATCGTATGACAAATATGCCCAATAACATATTCGAATATTTAATAGGATTAAAAAAATTCTCGCTCTGGCAAAGTAACATATCGATAATACCCAATGATATCTTTGAAGGTGTACGAGAATTGGAAGAATTAGATATGAGTTCGAACGATTTGAGAATATTACCATCGGTTACATTTTATCCATTAAAAAATCTAAAGAAACTAACTTTATTTTCAAATAAGTTTTCCGTTCTACCGGATAACTTGTTTGCGCAGAACAAGTTACTTTCAACATTAATCATTTTAAACAATGACGTTAAAATAAAAGAACTTCCTAAAAACTTATTACGAAACTTGCAGTATTTGAAACAAGTACATATACAAAGATGTGGAATTGAAATAATATATACCAACTTATTTACAAACTCGTCTAGAATAAATAACATATCGTTGGCGCATAATGAGATAAAGATACTACCGGAAGCAGTTTTTAACGATCAAATAAATCTACTTGAACTAGATATCAGTTATAATAACTTAGAAAGTCTAGGAATTAAGTTATTCTCGTCGTTAGTACGATTAGAGAGATTGAATTTATGTTGCAATTCTATAACAGAAATATCTGGGTAAGAACATTTTATTCTATATTACAATAATAAATGCCAAAGCACCCGTGCACAAACATTGTTAAAAAAGTTTTTTTTTTTAAGTGAATAGAAGAATAAATTTGAGTATGCGTGTTTCGGCAATGGAACACACATTTTTATGCCATTTTTTAAATTGTATTATACTATATACTCCTGCATTTTTTTTCAGACTAACGTTCTTACCATTGATAAGTCTCACATACTTAAACATGGAGAGAAACAATTTGAAAGTGATATCTTCAAATCTATTCGAAAATAATAGACAAAGGTTATCAATATTTTTTGCGTACAACGAACTTGATTTTGAAAATAAAATATTGGTTAATAACTCTTGGATAATTAGAAGGAATTCACCATTTATCAACACGCATAATTTACAAATGCTTAATTTAAGCCATAATAAATTTAGAGATGTTTCTATTGATTGGTGGGTGAATGGTCATGAACATATCGACTTAAGATTTAATTTTATCAAAAATCTATGGGTATGTAGTTGTTTGTCACTAAAATTAGTTCTATGAGTATTTACAGGTTCGCTTAATGTTTTTTTATTTGTTTTAGGGAGATGGTGAACATGAATTTGCACATAATTACAAAATAATAAAAACACCAATCAAAGAAATTTGGATCGGAAACAATAACCTAAGTTGTGGATGTCATAATTTATGGTTCCTTGATTACATACAGGCTCACTGGAAGACCAAGGTCTGTTATACCTTAGTAATGCTTGGATGGATGGATGCTTGATACAGTGTCTTCAGAACGCCTGTATGGATCTCGCTGAAATTTGGCGTAGATGTAGAATATGATCTGGAAGAACACATGGCTATTTTTTTTAACACGTTAGCTGCCATATCGGACTATATGTCCGACAAGCCAAATGTAAATAATAAGTATATGAGCAATTTAAATAAGGTATTACAATATTTTTATGTGTTTTCTAATGGTTTTGGACAAAATAAAAAAAATTTTTTTCGTTATTCGAAAAATCATTCTGGCTGGCAGCTAACGTGTTAATTGGTGGTCGTGAGCCGCAGCTAATATTATAATATATCTTAGAATTAAACATCAAATCAAAAATTTGCATTTATTATAGCTATTGTAATAGTGAAAAAATATTTTTGTTTCAGATATCAGACATCGATTTCAAACATTGTCCAATGTGGTCAACTCGTGTGGTTTGCTATATAGCATTTTATGTCATCATTTCTATCACAGGAATACTATTCTTCATAGCAGCATTCATAATTATTGTATATTTTATTTACAAAAAGAAATTCCATGAGCTTTTAAAAAGAATTTGCTCAACTATATTTCATGGAAATTTTAAAAACGAAGAAAACAAAATTGCATTAAAATATTCTATAGCTGACGAGGAATTCGTTTTAAAAGAGATCGTTCCCGGATTACAAGATATTAAAAATGTAAAACTGCTTATGAAACCTATCAGCGATTTGAATACTAAAAAGTCTTTTATGAAAATTTTGAAAAGGAACGAAAGCGAAAAATACGTCACCATTGTAATATTTTCACCGAATTATTTAATGACAACGTACAGTAAAGTTAATATTAAAAAGATACGAGGGGAGATGTTGAAAGCAAGAAATACAATTTACATATTTGTCGACACCGGCCCTGACAATTCTATTTACGCTTTCCTAAAGGATCAACGTGAGACACGGATATCAGTTTTGTGGAACGAACTCTATTTCTGGGATAAAATTATCGATTTCGTTTCGAAATATTCGAAACATCGCAAATTCGGTTACAAAACTAGAAGTTGCCAAGGAAAAAACAACCTTGTTAAAGAAATTAATAAAGTTAAACGTAAATATACACCGAAAATGTCATTCATGAAACTATCGGAGTGGCCTCAAACTGATACTTTCGAAACGTTTGCGCATAGCCAAGTTTAGTACATGTAAATCTTTTTTATGAGGCAAAGACTGAAAATTTCGCCGTTAACCATAGTCTAGTACTATGAATACAGATCATGTTATGTAATTAAATTATCACGTTACATGTTACAATTTAATTCTAAGCACAATAACATTATTTAGACTTTTTCAAAATTAACTTTTTTATAAAAAAAAATAATAAAAAGTCCTTGCTAATTCGCTAATTAAACAATAATTTGTTACAGCTGCATGTGTGCATATGACTTTATTATGTATTATATATGTATTATATACGACATATTCATCTTATGTAGTTATTTCAATGTATTACTTCAAAGAGGTAAATACGAGTATTTATTTCTAATGTAGGTATCATACATAGTATTACTTTTAATTAAAAAATCGTAATCTTGATTTCGAAACCAGCTTATTGTTAAAATTTGTCAAAAATGCTTTAAGAATAAATAATCACATTAACCAACGTTGACTAAACTTATTTCCCTAATTTCTGAGAGTAAAAAAAAAATTCACAGTGGTAGAGCCCGCTTTAACATCTACGCACAAATTGGCCCGGCTCGCCCGGTGAAATACCACGACCACACAGAAGACAGGCGACAAGTGGAAGCAATTCCGCGTTTCGTCTGATGAGTGTGCGTCCTGGAGGACTAATTTAGTCCTCTTTCCCTTCCCACCCTTTTTCTCATAGGGAAAGTATGGGAAGTGGAAGTGGACTTTCCGGATAAGGGGATGCAAGGAAAGGGAAGATATTTTTTCTTTCTGTGCATCCTCTCCTCCGTCTATTAAAGGTAGGCAGCGCATATGCAATTGCGTATGTCTATGGACAACAGTCACTTCGCTATTTCAGCGATTTCAGGTGACAGCTCGATCGTTTGTCACCTTACGATATAAAGAAATGCATTTTAATTAAATTCAATTATAATACTTTTGCATAAAACCAATGTACAGAAGGATCAAAAGCCTTTATAAGTAAAACTTAAAAGTAATTACATTTGTAAAAAAATGAACATACTGTATACTATTACAAAACTCCATCTTTCTGTTTTGCCTTAATATTTTAATACAAATTATTTTAAATAACTTTTAAGGATTAAGGAAAAATATCACAAAGTTTGGAATATATCCAATCTATAAGGAAAATTTTCTTCCACGCGACGCTTTTAGAATAACTTTATTACTCTTTGATGCCAGAAAAGTGTACTTTTTATGCGGCATTATCGGTTTTTACCGATAGTTATAGCCGGCGGGATTTAACTTTTTAATGATATACGGTATGATTTAAAAATAAACTATAAGGATTTGTAGCGCATATTTTAATGAAATAAATTCTTTAACATTGCTCTACAATTGTTTTAAAAATGAGTTAGATTTAATGTTCATAAGAAACGAAACAAAGATTAATCTTATTCTTACCACAACTAGCTTTTTTTGAGCTCTCGATATTTCGGTACTTGTATCCGGGCAAGGGCTGGCTCATAGATTTGATATCTCGGAATCTAATGATTATCTTTTGCATATAACTTGAATATTCTGAGGAATGAAGATCAGAAAAGATTAAAAACATATAAACTTTAAAACAGCTGATGTATGGAACACACAAAATACTTATTTCCCGCATCTATAAGACGCTTAGATCGCGTATATTATCATTTCGGGCTCAGCACTTTCATGTTAAATGGTGTGGAAACCAAGATAAATTTTAGATTTGTGGCCGTTGAAAATGTTTAGAAAACGTTGTCATCTATCCTTTTAATATTAAGGGTAATTTGTAATTTTATAGTAAAAATTATGAACTTAATTTCTTCTTTTCTATGTTGCAGTCGTATTAGACAGTTCGTGGACATCATTCATCAGTGAGGAGGGTGGAGGAGTCACCAGCCACCGCTACTTCTCCCTGATCGCTAACTTTTAATGCACATTGGTGCAAGGGGAAAGTCACAGCTGTTCTGATCCGGACAATCCATCTCAAAGGAGATTTTCCCCCTGTTCTGGTACCCCTTTTTTCAGAGGGGAATGTTTTATGCATACTCCGCGCCCAAGGAGGGACGCGATAGTTATGTGGGATTCTCTTCCGGATTAGAAGCATACCCACTAAACCCCCCTGTTCCTCCTACGAATCATGGCGAGGCCATGATCCGCGACTGCTCTGGTACCCACAAACTGGTAGCCCTACAGTACCACAACGGATATACGCAACTAAATAATATGAGAGTCCGAAAGTAATATAATCCATGACAATTTTTAATCAATTAAAAGTTTTAATGACTCAATATAATCATTAACGGGGAAACATAAAAGCAAACATTCGCTCGTTTTTCTCGTAAACGTTACGTTGTATTAAGTTTAAAAATGTGTATCAAATTCGCTGCGCATAAAAGGTCGATGTTATTGACATTATGTGGCGAGTTGGTCGCTTTGTTCATGGCTTTATGATTTTGTGTTTATTTTGTAATTAACATATGCATTGGCTTAACAAACGATTCGAAAACAGAGACTAACAAAATAAACGATCTGTTATTTTTAATTACATATATTATAATCACAACGAAACAGAAAACATTGATAACTTCGAATCTAAAATGCTTTTAGGAGATAGAAGAAAGACATTTGATAAAACAAGTAATACTTAGTCGCACTCGTAACAAATAAAAATATATTATCTTTCTTTGTAAAGAGTTTTGAAGTCTGCACATTCATGTATGTCTGATGATTTAAAAACGATACTAAAATGTTAAGACTGCGCACATACATTTAAGACTGAAAAATATAATATTTAACTAAATATAAGATGAGAAATCTATAAAAAAAAACTTGGAGATTTAAGCAATTCTGTTCGTTAATCTTACTAATATTGTAAATGCGAATGTTTACATGGATGGATGTTTCTTTGAAGGTATCTTCAGAACGGCTGAACGGATCTCAGTGAAATTTTGCACATATATAGAACACATTCTGGAAGAACACATAAGCTGCTAATTATGTTTTTATTTTTTAATTCTACGCGGACAGAGTCGCGGGTGACAGCTAATTGTATTATGAAGATTCATAAGCCTATGTTATACTACTGCTGGCTTTTTGTATCCAGTGTCATACTGCTGTCCGCATGACGTCATCGACCCACCTGGAAATGCACTCCTCACTTCAGACCAAATGTTGGTAAACAAGAAGGAAATTTATTTTCATTATTACTCATATTATCTATCAGTTTTTATAGGACAATAAGTCTCATAGGACTAAGTTAGAATTTATTATTCATGTTCGCGGCGGTGGCGTTAAAGCGAAATTTATTATAGGATTTTATCGTGCATGAACACGTTACGTCGAGGAAATAATAGACTTATTTAGATTTGTGGGAAACAATATGACACAAAAATTATTTGACAAACAAAACGATGGAACACCGTTTAGACAAAGATTTAAACGAACAATTTGTATTTGTCGCTATTAAAAAAATAACATTGCATGTTTCTAGGCATTTACTCGCAATAAGCTTCGCAAAATGCTATTGAATCTTTAAAATATTCAAAAAAAGAATTGATAATTAATTGATTTTATCTAGACTGATTTTATAAACCATTCATTAATATAGTAAACTCCTTGAACGTCACGTAATCTAGATTAAACTTTATTGTTCCTTAAATATTGGAACGGGTTTATCGTACTTAAATTGAATTTGTGATCAAAACTTTAAAATAAAACTGTAAAATAATTAGTAGTAGTTGGATTTTAGTCTCAAATAATTTCGTTGCATTGTAAAATGTTTCTTTGCATTTTCCAGTGAGGGGAAATTATTGTAACATACCCTTGCAAGGGTGCATGTACATATAACTTAGAGGGTTGAGAGGTGTCTGAGGACTTGTGTAAATGAAGTGGAAATATACATTATTATGTATACATATCATTCATTTATATGCATACGTACCTACATGTGAATACTATATTTTATTTTGAGGTTAAGAGTTTTTGTTTCTTGTTCAAAAATATATTAACATTTGTATAGTAAAGTTTTCAAAATCAGTACTACTTCATAGGCAGTCACACATTGAAAAACATGGCCAAGTGATTGTGTCAAATGGTTTAAGATGCTTTAACTTGTCGTCATAATTTTATCTACATTATAACTGTACGAGAATAAAGCCACTTAGGTGCTATACGAAATGATAATATTAAAGTTAAAATAGAATCTGACAAAAGTGAATAGGTAAAATTCACTAAAATCGGATATTATGCAGACGAATTTGTTTAGACACACAACTAAAGATCAAACTATTCAGTGAGACCTATTTCTAATCGTGCTAGCTGCCTGGATGATATATTTTTGGTATCGTTGCAGATTGTAGGTTATTTTTAATATCATAACAAGTTATCAGTCACCTGTAATTAACAAAATGGCAAAGCGCCCACAACCCATAGACATCCGCAATTGCAGATGCATTACTTACCTATAATTGATAGAGGAGAGAACAGAAAAAAGATATTTCTTCTTTCTATAACTTCACTCCCACGTCAAATTATAAAACTTTAGAAACTTGTACCTATATGTCTTCGGTTTAAAAATACGTATGCACGAATTCTTGAATAACATATGATCGTAGTCTGAAGCATACTGATCGATGCGCGTATATATATTTTTGAACCCGAAAGCGTATTCTATTTTTTGAAGTTTCATAAATGTATACATATTTATGCAGCTGACTGTACATATAATATGTGTGTAAAAACGTCGAACGCTGACAAAGGCCATCTCAGTTTTATAATAGCCCTTTACACCCACATACTTGAAACCCTTTTATACTTTCCCTCCTTGAATATTATATCTGTACAGATATTTTTTTCATATCCTTTGTCTGTTTCACGATCTATGAGTTGTATTATTAAGAGTTAAACAGTAAAAATGAATAAATCGATCGATAACACCGAATTTCGAAAGCTTTTGCGACATATGAAAATTTGAGTAGCATATGAATGAAAATATTTTTATTTATTTTAAAATGTCATTTTTTCATTAAAATTTATTTCATGCAATTACAAGGACAGGTAGAAATTTAAATCATATTTTGAAATAAATTGAAGCCGTATGGAGGTAGCAGTGTTGATTTATGTAACGAGGGCAATGGGTGTCG